CTGCTCCTTGGATAACGATGTCACAACTTCCAGTATATGGCTGTGGCGGAAGTAGAATGGTGTATTGGGAACATTAAAGTTGTGTACTTGGAACATTAACATCCGACATTAATGGTTTTGTTACATTGTAGAATCCTTTGATAATGCTGAAACATTTCAAGCCACTTGCGAAGGTCTCTCAATATTTTATAGTACATCACAGGGCTCTTAAATATCAAGTCAAGCTGAAAACATCAACACTTATAAAAGGTTCTGTAATTAAATGCAATAAAGGTGAATTTATTTTTGCAGATATATTCTTAAAATGAATACAGTGCACAATCAATATTATTATGCGTCAAAGATTATCGTTAAATAAGAATTTTAAAATAGATCTGGATATTTTCAATCAATTAATATTGTGTTTGTGGACAAGACTTTCCCCGAATTATTAAAAAACATATTATCAGCTTCAAGCTCCTGTGTCCTCAAACCACTGCTGTGGTAGTCATTCGAGAGGCAGTGCTCGAAATACATGACCGTTTAGAAAGTATTCTAGCTATTTGCATGACAATGTATCAGAGATTGATTTTTGTCTATATATATATATATAAAAAGATAAAGTACAAGTACTTGCTTTACTCACGGTAAAATATATAAGTAATTAGGGTTGTCATCAATTCTTGGTAAAATGAAACACTTTTTAATCCAGAACAAGTTGTTATTTAATCCATATTCAATTCATATATACATATATATATGCATTCCTTGACTGGCAGAGTACATATATATATATGCCTATTACGTTCGAAGCTAATGAATCCTTTTCTGTGTTATTTGCTAATTTGATTGTTTCTTAGAAGCTATAGTAAGTTTCTAAATTTTAGATGCTGATCTCACTAATATTATTGACATTTAGTACTATGTTTGGCTACCACTCCACTAGCTGTGTACTTAATGATTATTGAAATCAGTTCACCAGTCATTCGAGTGCAAATACAGACAAGTTGGAGAGAAAAAAAATCATACGTAAATGCGGTGGGAGCAAAACTTTATTACCTGGGTTCCAAACCTCTTGAAATTATTCGTGAAAAGAATGTAATCATAACATAACAAAAAGATAAGGACATGGTTGTCTTGCTGGGTGTTGTTGAGAAACACATTGCAAAACGTATTGCTTAGAATCAGTCTCAACTATCACATTGAAGTTGTGGTCAAATATTCAGCAATAGGTCTAATGTAAGAAAAATTGATAACGATATATAACGAGTAAAACATGAGGCTTTGTTTTTATTTTTACTTTGAGGGATCGCAATCTGATGTCGGTTTTTGGAATGGTTTCTTGTAAAAGGTTGAGAATCTTTAGTAGCCTAATAGGTAAAAGATGGATAGATACCACCGTTAAAGATAAAACTTATTTTTTGAGTAAATGATACGGCATCATTTGATAACTCTTTCTCTACATAAAACCGGTCATATGTAGAATGTTGAATCGAAAGCCTAAAGTGGTACTAAAAGCTTTTATTACGCCTTAGTTACTGATATAGAAATCAATATTTTTGAGATTAAACCCCTGAAAATAGTTTGTATTATTTTATTTCTTTAAAACGGATGAATAACTAAAAAGCTTACTTCCTTAAAAGCAATAGTCTAATTTCATGAAATAAAAACATCTAATCAGCTTTTTCTTCTAGTAATTTTCTGACTTAACTACTTCTGCCAATCAAGTTCATTAATCAACTAGATCAACAGTCTATCTTTAGTTTCAAAAACAACCCTGTATACAGACGATTTATGCAATGGATAGGTTTTTGCATTCCGATTGGAATTAACATCAAGAAATTTCAAGTGCCAGATAGAAGTAGAGTCTTATCCTGTCGGTGAATTCAAGAGGTTATTCTGGAATCAAGCACTGGTGTTAAGTTATCGAGCTTTATCAAGATGTTTGATAAGGGTTTTCGGTAAATTTGAGATACATAAAAGAATTGATTAATTCTATAAAAACTCAGATAAATATCTTGTCAATATTCTTTATTCCGCTCGTCATAACATACATCACGTATTAAAGAACTTCTTTATTTCTGACTTTATTCATGTCAATCATGTAACAGTTAAGTGTTTGTATAGAAAATGACTTTTGATTTAGTATAAACACATAAAACATCTTCAAAGTACCATTAGTTTGAGATATTGACTTGCGGTCATGCTGTTATACACTTTTCTTTTTTTTCCTTTTTTCTTGATATTCTTAAACTAAGATTTACAGCTCTGATGACTCTGTTACGCAGTAACGATTAAGGCAGGCGTATACACAGCGTATGGAAAATTTGTCGAATACGCTGCCGTTCGTAGAATACGTAATTTTAGTATAAGCTGAACAACGATGAAGCACGCTGGTATACGTCGTAGTAGGTAGAACGAATAAACATTTTACTTGTACAAAATTTTCAACGTATGCTGTCATTCCCAAAACTTACTTCTAACTTATGAGTAACGTGCTTTGAACGTAAATTTCGAACTTATTTCCATTATAAGATGTATATGTAGGCATATTTTGACGTGTTCTGAATAGAACTTGTTTTTCTTGATAGTTAAAGTATAATGACTGATTGGCACCTGCTATTTATTTCATACCCATATACGCCATTATAGATATAAGTTAGACACGCGTTAAGTAAGTTATATGGTCGTCCAAGATAAGTTAAGGTACAAAGCAAGTTACGTTCCATATTTGCGAGAGGTATGAGTTATACGTAGTTTTACGTCGAAAATTTTGTGAATGCACCGTAATTCAATGTATACCAGCGTGCTTTTAACTTAACCAAAACTATTCGATTTATGCAAGTGTATGGGCTAGTCAAATCGTCATGACCACTACTATAAACCTTTACACAATACGAAAAAAAATCAAACTAGAAACGTTTACAAAATACTATATAATATGTTAACAGAATACCTGAAACTAACCGCAACTATTAACCTTTTACAGGGTACCAGAATCTAGACACTACAAACCTTTGAAGAATACCAGAAACTATCTTCTCATTATGAACCTTTACAGAATACTAGAAACTAACAACCACTATAAACATTTACAGAATACCAGAATGTTACCTCAACGATAAACCTGTGTAGAATATCAGAAACTAACTCCCAACGACAAACCCTTACAATATACCAGAAACTAGCCCCCCATGACAACCCCTTACAGAATACCAGAAACTAACTATCAACGACAAACCTGTACAGAATTCCAGAAACAAACTATCAACGACAACCCCTTACAGAATACCAGAAACTAGCCCCCCATGACAAACCTGTACAGAATACCAGAAACTAACTGTCAACGACAAAACCTGTACAAAATACCAGAAACTAGCTTCCCATGACAAACCTGTACAGAATACCAGAAACTAACTGTCAACGACAAACCTGTACAGAATACCAGAAACTAGCCCCCCCATGACAAACCTGTACAGAATACCAGAAACTAACTATCAACGACAACCCCTTACAATATACCAGAAACTAGCCCCCCATGACAAACCTGTACAGAATACCAGAAACTAACTATCAACGACAACCCCTTACAGTATACCAGAAACTAGCTCCCCATGATAAACCTGTACAGAATATCAGAAA